GGGGGGGGCGGAGCCGCTGGTGCAAGGGCAGGGGAATCCGGGGCGGCTGCCACCACGTCTGGCTGGGACTTTGTGTTCCCTGCAGCCCACCCCGGCTGTTGTAGGTGAAGGCGCATGGGGAGGATCTGGGGAGCTCAGATTTAGGGGACTGGCTTCCGGGGCCTCACGAGTAGAAAGGGGTCCCGCGTAGGGTGTTGGGGACTTGGATTGCCACGGGGGCGGGGTCACGGGAAAGCTGGGAGAGTTCTGCTGCAGGAGCACTTGACCAAGTTTGTATGAAACAACTTTGCTCCGCTTGCTAAGGCCGCAGAGAAACGGAGGTTGATACTGCGCCGGGAGTGTCTTGCAGCCTTCTGCCAAACCAAGTATGGCAGGATTTGTTCTTCAGTGGCTTGCGCGGACTTTAAACTACTCAGTGTCTTTAATCCAGATTAACTGTTGCTTCTGGATTAGAAAGCCTGGATCGATTTAACTTTTATTTTCTGATTGCAAAAGTTACATGCTTTTTGTAGGAGAGCTGGAAAATTTGGAGGTTTTATGTGGGATTCATATTCATTCATTCTCATTCATAGTTTCATCCCCACCCCCATTTTCTGTCTTTCCCTCACTTTCTCTTTTTGTTGAGATAGTGTCTCAATTATCCCAGGCAGGCCTTAAACTCCTCCTGATCCTCCTTCCTCCACCTACTACGTGCTGAAATTTTAGGTGTGCATCACACACTCAGCAAAATGTATGTGTGTGTGTGTGTGTGTGTGTGTGTGTGTGTGTTTCTTCTAAGACTTTATGAATGCATCTAGCACTCTGCCAACTGAGCTACATCGCCCTCTTCTTGTGTACATGTATGCATATGCATTTTTTTTTTAAATCAAAAGCACGAAACAAGCCAGGTGTTGGTGGCTCAAGCCTTTAATCCAGCATACCGGAGGCAGAGGCAGGTAGATCTCTGTGAGTTCGAGGCCAGCCTGGTCTACAGATCGAGTTCCAGGACAGACTCCAAAGCTACACAAAGAAACCCTGTCTTGAAAAACTAACAACAAAATGAAACATTAATATTCTTTATGTTTCTTACATGTGCAGATGCTTGAACTTTTCATATATAGATATTTGACTATGTAAAATAAATGTGATGAATTGCCCTGGTAGGTAGGACCACAAAAAGAATTCCATAAATCCTGATAGGGAGGATTTATGAAATTCCTTTTGTGGTCCATACACAGAGTTACAAGAGGACTGGCTAGTGACAGTTGTATGTTCTCTGTGACTCACAGAATATGACAAATGCCTGTCTCATTACTGTTGGTAGACCTTGTGTAGAAACAATAAACATGAGCCTACAACTTCATAACATATGTAGGTGGGAACGACTCATCATTCCACTTAAGATATACCTCAGTGCCTGCTCTCCTCTGTGGGGCGATGTTTTGTATCACCACCTGAAGGATCTCCACAATGGAAAGGCAACCTTCCTGCTATGAATCTTGAAGGTCCCCATAAAGCTCAGGAGAGGGCCTTGGGAGAAGCAGATGGCATTTCTACAAAACAAATTAGACAAGTATCGATTCTGATAGACAATCTAGCAGAAGATGGAGAAATGTCTGGATTTCCTCTGTAGAATGTCAACTATTTCTGTTCTAACATTTCCCTGCATGAAGTCTAAAAATACTTAATGCAAATTCAAGTCAGTTCTGCCTGTTCTTGCTTCGCTGTTATCTTTTGCGTTTGTGTTCCCAAAAGAGATGAAAAATAAACTGGAGGGTCTTAGGAACTATTTCAGTCCTACCTCATATCTACAATGACAGAAGGCTTTTGGAGGCTTGCATCTGTGATTGTTTGGGGAGTTGGAGGGGACATATTTTTTCTCCATTATAAACTTATGATTACTCTAAGTCTCAGGTTTTTCTGTAAAAGTTGCAAGCAAAAAAAAAAAAAAAATGGTTTAAGCTGTCTCGGTGAAATCATCTAAATTCCACTATTTTTTTTTTTTTCAGAGCTGAAGGGATTCACCTAAAAGTCAAAACAGAACTGTTGGTCAGTGGTTAAGCAAAGATTTCCTTTGGCATTGGTCTTTTCTCTAGTAATGTGTATAATACAATGCTTTGATAGTTCTGATACACAGTTTTGAAATCTAAACAGATCAGTGTTAGGTTACATGTAAAGTACATTGGAACATGTTCTTTGTCCCTCCCCTGTTTTCACCACAAGCTCCTTCCCCTCCCCCCATACACAGTACTTGTAGTAGCTTTGCCAGTTTTCTGATCAGGTTCATAACTAACAATGACTGGCCAATGTTATACAATTAAGTAAAATAGGCTTAGTATATTAAAAATTGAAAAGAAAATCCAACAGATTTTTTTTTTGTTTAATAATGGCTGTTTTTACTACCAGTAAAATTCAATTTTTGTGTTGTATTTTCATGAACGTGTTCAGGATGACCTCTTTTTTTCTTTTGGGCTTTGTTACTAACTTTCCTTGACAATGTCTGATTTTATTTTTTAAAGATCTATTTATTTATTATGAGTAAGTATATCACAATGCATGTTCCTATGTTCCTATGTGTGTGTGCATATTGATGTGTGTGTACGCCCGTGCGTGCGTGCGTGCGTGCGTGCGTGCGTGCGTGTGTGTGTGTGTGTGTACGCACACTTACACTGGTGAATGTGCATGTTTGTGTATGCAGGTAGAGGCCAGAGGCTTTGGGTATTTCAAACAGGTTCTCTGTGTGACCCTGGCTGTCCTGGAACTTGCTGTGGAGATGGAGTTGGCTTCAAACTTGTAGAAATCCTCCTGTGTCTGCCTCCTGAGTGCTGGGATTAAAGACATGCCACTACACCCAGCATCCTCTCTCTTGTCTTTAAATATACAGTCCAACCTTAATTTATATCCTTTCCTTCCTCCCTCCTATGTTTTTTATTTTTAGTTTAGTGTATGAGTGTTTGCTTGCATGCATGTATGTGTACTGTGTGCATTCCTGGTGCCCATGGAGGCCAGAAAAGGGTGTTGGGTCCCCTGCAACTGAAGTTACAGGCAGTTAGTTAGTTGTAAGCCGCCATGTGGGTACCAACAACCAAATCCAGGTTCTCTGTGAGAGCATCAAGTGTTCTTAACTACTGAGCCATCTTTCCAGCCTCACAGCGATGAACTCCGAATAGTTGGACAGGATAGGATGGAAATCTGAGATCCTTAGGCTTTTGTGACTCGGCCCTGACTACGTTTGTAGATCCATTCTCATTAGTCGTGCTCTGGATTTCAGGCTAGCTTTATCACGCTCCCCAGATCCCTAGCACTTCAGCCACTGTGAGTTGGTAGTTACATATTCCAATGATAGGATTTTGGAGTGAAATTAGTGATGGTGAATAATTTCTAGTGGGCTGCAATTATAATTATTCACAATAAATAACCTTTAGTGAATAATGCTATGAACACCAGGTTCTCGTTTCCTTTTATTTGTGGTGCTGGGGCATCAAACATGGAGGGCTTCACATGTGCAAGGCAGTTGAGAAAATATTGTGTCCTCTCACTTTGGATGTCATAAACTTTTATTTCAAGGTGCCCTGATGGTAGTTAGTGGAGAGGCTTGACTGTTGTCTCAAAGAGGCCCACTTGACAGCTGTGCAGTAGCCATTGTGTGCTCTTTGACCTCACAGACCTGAAGGTATTGGACCTGCTGGTTGATCTGATCTTTGAAGAGCTACTTACCCCCCCCCCTTTTTTTTGTACTAGGATAAAAGCAGTGGGAGTTTCTCATATACTTTCTGCCTTTAACTTGTTTAAAAAGTGCTGTTAAAAGAAAAACCCTAAAGAGTCAATAATAATGACCTTTTTAATTCACTTTTCCTGACAGTATTGGGTTGTTTTCTCATTTTAAAATTACACTTCTTTAATCAAGATTGTATTTTAGGAGGCTGGAGAGATGGCTCAGTGCTTAAGAGCACTTGTTACTCTTGTAGACGACGTGGTTTGGTTCCTGTCACTGATATGGTGGCTCACAACCATTCATAACTCCAATCCCTTATACCCTCTTTTGGCTTCCTCAGGCTCCAGCCATGTACTTCGTGCACATACATACATATATACATACATACATACATACATACATACATGCAAGCACACACACAGTAAAACAAAAATTTTTTTTTTACAAAGAGATTGTATATCTTTAAGTTACATATTTATTGTAGTTTGTCTGCTACATTTATTTTTCTGATGTAATTAAACAGAGTTCAATTGTGAGCTCTAGCTGCTTGGTGTCCATTACTCTAGTCCCAGTGTAGCAAGGCCACTGACAACAGTTAAAGAGACATATTTCTAGACTTCTGGGACATCACAGTCTCCTCAAGTTTTGAGGGTTGGCAAAAATTCTTGAAAAGTGTTTCAGAAATGCTGTTCTATGATCTGAAGCCACATTCTAGAATAGTATTTTGTGACCTGCACATCCGGAAAGTCTCATGTGATCTATAAAGTGTGTCCCGGGTAATCTAGAGAGCCTGTCCCAGGTAATCTAGAGAGCCTACCCCGGTTAATGAGTAGGTTAATGCTTACACATGACTCTTCTCTATTGGCATCCATCTTTTCTACAGAAGGAATATGTTGGGAGATACTTTGTTTTTCACGTCTGCATTTTAGCATCTGTTTACATTTGCTTGCTTCTGGCAGGCAGGATCACACCCGTTGCACAATGACATCTAAGCAGCTTGGTTCCACAGCAGGCTTTCAGCTGCCAGTCACAGGTGAGCCTGTGTATGAGGACAGGACTCTAGGAAATAGGGGTAGCTAAATAAAATCAACCCTGATAGGGGCGGTGGTGTTCAAAGGAATTCCTGCTGCTAACCCACAACCCACCTCTTCTCTGTAGTTATGTTTAGTTCTCTTTAGCATGGTGGAAAGAGGCAAGACAAAGAATGCTAAAATTAAAAAAAAATTGACTTGATACATTCAGTTGTTTTTGTTTGTCTGCACACAGTGGCCTTACTTGGAGGGGCCAGTGTGCACCAGGAGGGGAGGGACGCAGCCAGTGGGGAGATCAGACTCTGTAGAACACTTGGCTGTCTCTCCTGCAGGATTGCCCTGAGGGCCTGGGCCAAATATGTGCATTTGCTTTTCAGATCTGCCCCCCACTTTTCTCACTCCAGGGTGGTGGGGGATGAGAGGGGTGGCTAGCTTGTGCTCAAGACTGCTGGTCCAGTTAACAAGGCTCTCTGCTCTGGCTGCTTACCCTGGAATGATCAGGAGATATGCTCATCTGACAGTTCAGAGGGGGCTGACTGTGTTAGCTGTTTCCCAGTCAGTGTCCCTGGGCTAAATTTTTAGCTACTTTTATTATTTTATGTTTGGGGTGTTTTGCCTGCATATTCACATATGTGCGATGACTCATGAGGCCCGAAGATGACATCAGATCCCTTGGGATGAGAATTACAAATGATTGTGAGCCACCATGTGGGTGCTGGACACTGAACCTGAGTCCTCTGGGTGTCCTTAACCACTGAGTCATGTTTTCCAAGTTCTCGGGTATTCTAAGCTTGCTGGATCATCAAACCATTCCCTTTGTCATCTTATGCTCAGAGGTTTAGGGAATCATGGCTGGCCGCAGAATTTCTTTGATCCTTTGTAGGTTGTCTCTTTAAAAAAGTAAAAAAAGAAATCTGCATTTCTTTACGTTCATTTTATTAGTACATATCCATTGAGCCAAATAATTGCCCCTTATCCTTCCCTCCTTGTCCATGCCACTGGCCCCTTCCTCTTCCCAATGGACCCCCTTCCATGTCTTATACAGTCACTAGCCTTTCAATGTGCTGTTTCTTGCTGAGAAACTGATGCTATTGCCTAACCAGACTCCCTCTCACCTTTCCTAGCGCACCTGGCTTTCTCCCACGCTATGGTGTGGATGGGCTTCCTCTCTATTTACCTTCGAGAAGTGACAAAAGCCAAAGAACCTGATCCTTCCCTTCTGCCTGAGGAACTGGTTAAAAACCAGGCAGTAACTGGACCTCAGACCATTGTGGCAAGGTAGAGCCCTCCCCAGAGTGATCAGTGTAGCTGGGTACAACACAGAGGACAGGCTGTCACAAGGGATGCTAGCACTTCATCCCTTTGAATAAAATTCAAAAGTTTATTTTGAATTATGTGTAGGTGTGTGTCTGCATGCACATACATGCATGTGATTGCAGGTGCTGGGGACCAAAGGCATCATATCCCCCAGAGTTACAGAAGATCGTGAGTTGCTTTGTGGAGCTCCTGGGAACTGAACTCTGGTCCTATGGAAGAGCAGCAAGCACTTTTCATTGCTGACTCATCTCTCTATCCCTAGTAAAATATAAGTTCTATAAATTATTATCGTATGTGTTAATGTGGAGGTCAGAGGTCAGTTTTGTTAAGTCAGTCCTCTCCCCCTACCTTGACCTGCATTGAGCAGAAAGTACCTTTCCCCTCTGAGCCATCATGGGCATCCCATTGTCGTGAGTCTAGCACATTCATTGTCAGCACTTTTTGTTTCACAGGACTCCTACTCCACCCCAGACAACTTCCTTTATTATAAACTTCTTCATTGTATCGAGTATATAAACTTTGTTTCCTTTGAATTGTGACCATTGATCCCTTTTTAACTAGTAACTTAGTACCCTTCAGCTCAGTGTCTTTAGGACATAATTCCAAGTTTCCTGATCATCTTAGTTACTTTCTCGGACACACACCATCACCCCTTTGCTACAGTGTCTCTTAAAATGTGACTCCCCAGCTTGAGTCTCATAGGATTGAGAAGCCCCTAGAATTCTCTTTCCTCTGTGATAATAATAGGTTAAAAGTTTTGTGTGCTTACCATCACAGACTTAGACAGTTTGTCTGTGAATGTCCTTTCAAGGCTGTACAATCAAAATTGCTTACTCCCATTTTTATTGATAGGGAAACAAGCATAAACTTAACATCGAACAAGTTGCTGGAGACCTGTGAGCTAATTAGGGGTAGAGTGGAAAACTAGCATCTTGTTTGATTCCAAAGCTTGTGTTCTTATCTCACACAGTGCTACACCATAAATCCTTTCCCACAAACTCAAAGGACAGGGATCCTGTCATATGTACCTTGGTGTCAGTATTGTTTAACCTAGAAGCTGCCAAAAGATGCAGAACAGACAGGGACTACCTACCTGCTTTATTCTGAAATGCTGCATGTCTGTTAATGTGCCCAACAAGCTCACACAGATTGGATGATGATTGCTACAGTGTGTGACTGAAATTGTCTCATTCACTTAAAGTTACTCAATTCTGAGTCTGCTGAAAGCTATACATTCCTTCCCTCCAGAAAGTGCTCTTATTCATAACCGTGGAAATTTCAAAGTGTTCTGCGTCTCTTGTGGCTTATCCCTGATCTCACTAGAGGATTGTAGGCCAGGTTGAACCTGCTGTTGGTGACTGGTGCCATTTTGATTATGTCTGGGGACATCACCTGTGTCTAGACCAGTTCTGGTTTGGTTGTAAGATGCTTCCCATGGGCTCATGTGTTTGAACTCTTGGTCCCCCAGTTTGCAGCACTGTTTTGGAAGGTTGTAGAACCTTTAGGAGGTGGAGCCTTTCTGGGGAAGTGGACCTTACAGTTTATAGTATGCCCTGCCTCCTGTCTAGTCTGCCGTTGCCCTTCCTTCTCCATGATGGTCTGTGCTCCCACATGGTGAGCCAAGGTAAACACAGACTCCGTGGTGACCCAAAGCCACTCAACTTCCTTTCTCCTCTCTCTCTGTCTCTCCCCTTCCCTCCCTCCCTCCCTCCCTCCCTCTCTGTCTCTTTCTCTCCTTTTCCCTCCCTCCCTCCTTCCATCCCTTTCTCATCTTCTTTTACTTTTAAAAAAATGGTTTCACTGAGTAGCTCAGGCTAGCCTCAGATTTACAGCCTCCCACTTCAGCCTCTAGAGTGCCAGTCTGACAAGCCTGTGCCACCATGCCTGGTGTAAAGCTCTAGCACAGCTCCTGAGAGCTTTTGTAAGGGACCTGTGTGTGGAGATGGTAGCTCCTCTGGGCGATAATGTAAATTGGATTTCTTTTTTTTTTTTTTTTTTTTTTTTTTTTTTTTTGGTTTTTCGAGACAGGGTTTCTCTGTGTAGCTTTGGAGCCTATCCTGACACTCGCTCTGTAGACCAAGCTGGCCTTGAACTCACAGAGATCTGCCTGCCTCTGCCTCCCTAGTGCTGGGATTAAAGGTGTGTGCCACCAACGCCCGGCTAAATCGGACTTCTTAATGTTCTTTTTGAAACTGTCAGTCATGAAACATCATGTTTGCTGTTAGTGTATCACTCTCAGGTACTGTGGCTGGCACAGAGAGATGTGTGCCAACATTTTTTTAAGAGTTTTTTTGGTGGGGGCAGGACTGGGTGTAATGGCACACTCCTGTAAACCCCAAACTCAGAAGGTGGAGGAAGAGGAGGCCTGCTTGAGGCTACATACATGAGGACATGTCAGATGAAATAAGCAGGCAAGAAGCTAGAAAGAGATGTCTCAGTCAGTGTAGTTCCTGCCATGTAACTGTGAGGACCGGAGACTTGCAACTTAGCACCCACACATAAAGCTGGATATGGTCTGCACCTGTTATCCTAGTGCTGCGGAGACAGACAGGAGGATCCTAGTGGCTTCTGGCTGAAGTGAACTCCAGGCTTACTGGAAGACACTGGCAAAATAAAATAAAATAAAATGGAAAGCAATGGAGGAAGACACCTACTGTCATCCTGCTGGCCTCCACATGCATGTCCATACACAGTGCATGCACACCTGCACACACATGCATGTCCATACACAGTGCATGCACACCTGCACACACATGCATGTCCATACATGGGTACATGCACACCTGCACACACATGCATGTCCATACACAGTGCATGCCCACCTGCACACACATGCATGTCCATACACGGGTGCATGCACACCTGCACATACCTGCATGTCCATACACGGGTACATGCCCACCTGCACACACATGCATGTCCATACACATGCACACCTGCACACACCCGCACACACCTGCACACACATGCATGTCCATACACAGGGCATGCACACCTGCACACACCCGCATGTCCATACACAGGGCATGCACACCTGCACACACCCGCATGTCCATACACAGGGCATGCACACCTGCACACACCCGCATGTCCATACACAGGGCATGCACACCTGCACACACCCGCATGTCCATACACAGGGCATGCACACCTGCACACACCCGCATGTCCATACACAGGGCATGCACACCTGCACACACCCGCATGTCCATACACAGGGCATGCACACCTGCACACACCCGCATGTCCATACACAGGGCATGCACACCTGCACACACCCGCATGTCCATACACAGGGCATGCACACCTGCACACACCCGCATGTCCATACACAGGGCATGCACACCTGCACACACCCGCATGTCCATACACAGGGCATGCACACCTGCACACACCCGCATGTCCATACACAGGGCATGCACACCTGCACACACCCGCATGTCCATACACAGGGCATGCACACCTGCACACACCCGCATGTCCATACACAGGGCATGCACACCTGCACACACCCGCATGTCCATACACAGGGCATGCACACCTGCACACACCCGCATGTCCATACACAGGGCATGCACACCTGCACACACCCGCATGTCCATACACAGGGCATGCACACCTGCACACACCCGCATGTCCATACACAGGGCATGCACACCTGCACACACCCGCATGTCCATACACAGTGCATGCACACCTGCACACACATGCATGCCCATACACGTGTGCATGCACACCTATGCACACCTGCACACACATGCATGTCCATACACAGTGCATGCACACCTGTACACACACATGCATGTCCATACACACGTGCATGCCCACTTGCACACACACATATACACATTCACAAATATGCCAATTGATTAAAGATAGTTTCTTTTTCTTTAGGTAAGAGTTTCTCTGTGTAGACTTGGCTGTCCTGAAATTCACTCTGTGTAAGTTGGCCTAGATCTCACAGAGATCCTCCTGCCTCTGTCCACCCTCCTACCCTCCCCCTTCTACTCCCCCCAGTGCTGAGATTAAAGGCATATACCATCACTGCCATCACTGCCTGGCCTTAAAGATAAGTGTGTCAAAAACCTTATCTTGGTATTTCTTTATAAGAAAAATGATTGTTTCGTTAGATTCTGGGGCAATTTCTTGAGCCCCCGAACTTCTTTTCTGGGCACTGTGTTCTTGTGTGAAGTTACTGTAGATTGTGAACTGTTCCCTCCTCACCCTTGTTTGTCGTTTTCTTTGTTAAGCATTTGTTTCCACCTGAAAAGTAAAATGCTATCCGAAGCCACTAGGAGTTGTTTGAACCTGTGTTCATGCCTGCATTCACTCTTTTCTTCCTCTAGAGCCTCCCACTCCACCCCCACCAGCTGCTCTGATTATCTGCTCTTAGTTTGCCTTTTATTTCCTGGACTTTGGATCTTCTATTATCCTGCCTGTTTAACCACTTTAAAAAAAAGATTCAAATTAGTCTCCACTTCCCTGACTTTAGGAGTGTTTGCAGCCTGAGCTAGAGTGAAATGGTGACTGTTACAAGAAAGTGAAGACAGGGTGCTTTAGATTTTGAAACACAAAACGGTGAATTGTCCCTCTCCAGAACTGCTGCAGTGCACCGACCCAGTGCACACACACCCCGATACAGTCACGCCATCGATTAATTAGGTGGTGTGTGTGGAGAGATCCAGTTGAGCAGTTTTGCCATTGTGTGGGTATCATGGAATCCACTCACACAGACCTGCATGACTGTAAATGCAGGGTGATCTGTGAAACACTCAGAAGCATGCTAGAGTGAATACATAGACCAGTAGCATTGTTGTTGACTATTAGCTGCATGTCAAACACTCTGCAGTCTATAATTATATTGTCTATGCTTTAATATGACTGGCAGTGCTATTTATACCAGGATCGCCATGGATGTGTGAGTGTGATTCAACCTTACCACAGCTATGGGGCTGG